ATGCCCTCGGGACTGTGGACAGACCGCGCGGGCGGCAGTGGCGCTGCCCGGAACGGCCACTCGGGAGCTGCAGCAGCCGTTTTTGACATGGGCTCTCTGGAACCGAGAGGCCAGCCTGGCGCCGCTCGAAGCCGGGCATCGTGGAGACGGGCCATCGCGCGAGCGAATGCTCGAGCAGTGGGAAGCAGTAACGATCGGGACGGGTATCCAATGCGGCAGAATGGTGAGACACTGTTGGCCAGTTGTCAGTCAGCCAGATGTTGACACTGTCAGGCGTGGCAGACACAAGTTTTTTTCGTGTGACTCGGGCGCGCCTGTGCTCTGAGTCAAAAGCTGGCTTGGATCCCCCATGATACGGCGAGCTTAGACGTTGAACTTTACAGCAAAGTGCACATGGCCCGCTATGAGCAAGAAAAGATCAATGAAAGAGGTTTCTCGTCATTGGAGCCATCCGCGAAATGCCATGACTTTCTCTCGTTCCTTTTGCACGACTTATGCACACAAATGCTCGCACCATGTTACCGCCACGCCTCGTCATCGTCCGTCAACTCGCACGTCCTTCATTCCAGACCGATGTACGTGACCTGGTGTTTGACGTGCACCCCAGTCAGTTCGCCGTCGACCAGAGCGGAACCTCCATCACCATCACCTGTGAGTCGAGCCAGACATTACATCCGCGGGACGCATCACCTCGCACAGGTTCACTGGAGCAGGCGGGACCTCGCGCTTCAGCCTCTCGCGTTTGATGTCTGTTGCTATAACGAAGGGCAGGGTACCTGTCGGTAGGCGTTCTCATAAACAGGTTTTAGCGTGGATGAGGTGAGAGTTGGGTGACTTGGAGTGTCTGGAGATTAGCGGGTTTACTGGCCGGTGCGATGTGGGGGCTGCGTGCGCCATCTAACGGCTGCCAGACGCACTGGACATTCCGGTCCGCTCACTGTGCCGCCACGTGGCAATAGTGGTTTGCTGGCCAGCCAGAGCGGGGTCGTTGCTCGCCGGGGAAGGGGTGGGGGTGGGTGGATGACAGCAGTACTTGATGTGGCAAGGCTGTCGGGACGGATAGTCTCTACTGCGGGTTTTCAAATAGGACTGAAATCCACAGACGTCGGTGTGGTCGCTGCGCGCTCACCATGGAATACCGCCCACCATGTTATTGGTGGCCTGTGGGCTAATGCGAGATGTCAGCGACTGTAAACCTTTGACTCCGCTGTGGGGTCTGTGCGGTGCATTCTGTGTACCGTAGGGCGTCCGAGGCGAACGCGAGGTCTGGTTGTAGAGTGTTGCTGGTGGACTCTTGGGCTCCTGTTGCCTGTGTATTCGAGAGACGCAGGTGTATCGAATAGTAAATACCTGGCGACGTCAGACCCAGCTTGTCTGCGATGGCTGGTTAGGGACCCTACATGACGTTTTCCGGTCCGGTCTGGTTTCATGTACTCTTATACAGAACAGAAAATGCATGCATCAAACCAGCGCCCTGAGTGATCGCACCCTGGTTCGGTCCCAAAACTTGTAAGGTACAAACAAGCGCTAGAAGACGTCCTGGAAGCATTTCCCAATGCTGTGGCAACCGCAGATCGGGCATGACCAGCCCACAAAGCGACAATCCCCATGTTTTGGCGCAGGACGGGTATTCTGACCTGCCGTTTATTTCTACCCTCCGGCGATGGCTATAAAAGTTTGAGAGGCCCGTAAAGCGGCACTTTGGCGCCGAACACTTCATAACGGCAGAGTTGACTGCTGGTCCCCGAGGCTTGGCCTCACAACGACCAGCGAAGAGGCCAGTGCCGCGTGTGTCTAGCGCCAGCTTCACTTTTATGCGCCCCGTCTTCCCTGCGCTGGGTGAAATGTGACGAAGTGAAGCGAAGACGTGTTGACGGCGCGAGGGAACAGGGCGACTGAATGAAGCATGGCCATGCGGATCTCAGTCGCGGCCTCGTAACCTGACCGACCTCGCGACTGCCAGGGCACGACGGACATGAGTCGAAGTACAGTCTTCAGTGGCTCTGGGAAAACAGCTACATTAGTCAGAAGTACCGGCAGATGCAGCAGGACAGGGTCTGGAAGAGGTGAGGCGTCCCACCCACCTCACCTCCTTCCCCTCCCCGAATCCCCCTGCCTGGCTGTTACCAGCCAAAATGTCATCATTGCGCTTCCAATACTGAAGCATGTGCTCGCTTAAATCAGAAGAAAAGCTTCGCTGAAGCTGGGTGGTGGCAACCAATTTATCGTCTCTCTTTCCAGCCCAGCACATTGCAGTTTTGCCCTTGTAGCGCGTGAAGCGCCGCCGGTGCCTACATCGAAACAATAAGTTCAGGCGGGACTAGCCGTGAGTGAAAAATGGGACTAATTTTGACATGTTGGACGAGCCCTGACACACAGCCAGGCCCCCGGGACGCCGTTTGTTTCCGCCGCACCGCCGGACGTGCCGGGCTTGGGCCGGCTAATTGAACTGGTCCGAGTGTTACGTGACCCCAGATGAGCGGGCCCATTGCTCATCCGGAACGCCCGCTGCGGCCGCTCTGCCATGACGACGCCCGGCACGGCCAGATCTCAGAGGCGTGCAATGGATTGAAAACGCGCGGCGCTGGTATGACCGCTGGGAGGGCGTGACGCGCCGATGGTGTGGCCGTTGGGAGGGCGTGACGCGCCGCTGGTGTGACCGCTGGGAGGGCGTGACGCGCCGCTGGTATGACCGCTGGGAGGGCGTGACGCGCCGCTGTGTGACCGCTGGGAGGGCGTGACGCGCCGCTGATGTGACCGCTGGGAGGGCGTGACGCGCCGCTGGTATGACCGCTGGGAGGGCGTGACGCGCCGCTGGTGTGACCGCTGGGAGGGCGTGACGCGCCGCTGGTATGACCGCTGGGAGGGCGTGACGCGCCGCTGGTATGACCGCTGGGAGGGCGTGACACGCCGCTGGTATGACCGCTGGGAGGGCGTGACGCGCCTCTCGTGTGACAGTTGGGAGGGTGTGACGATCCGCTGGTGAGACGGGCTGGGAGGGTGTGACGATCCGCTGGTGAGACGGGCTGGGAGGGCGTGACGCGCCGCTGATGTGACGCACTGGAATGGTGTGACGCGCCGCTTGTTTGGTGAGTCGCTGTTGTGACGGCTGGGAGGGTGTACCGCGCTGGGAAGGTGTGGCGGTCTGCTGTTGTGACGGCTGGGAGGGTGTACAGCGCTGGGAAGGTGTGGCGGTCTGCTGTTGTGACGGCTGGGAGGGTGTACCGCGCTGGGAAGGTGTGGCGGTCTGCTGTTGTGACGGCTGGGAGGTGTGTACCGCGCTGGGAAGTGTGGCGGTCTGCTGTTGTGACGGCTGGGAGGGTGTACCGCGCTGGGAGAGTGTGGCGGTCTGCTGTTGTGACGGCTGGGAGAGTGTGCCGCTCTGGGAAGGTATGGCGCGCCGCTGGTGTGATGCGCGAGGGTATGACGCGCTGGAAGGGCGCGACACGCCGATGGCGAGGCGGGCTCGGGGGGGGGGGGGGGCGCTCCGTTGGTGTGACGGGTTGGACGTTGTGACGAGCTGGGAGAGTGTAACGCGCCGCTGGCGTGGCGCGCTGGGAGGGTGTGACCCTTTGGCAGCGTGTGACGGCTGGGAGGTGTGACCACTGGAAGGGCGTGACGCGCTGCTGGTGTGACGCTCAGCTGGTGTAACGCGCTGCTGGTGTGACGCGCAGCTGTGTAACGCGCTGCTGGTGGGACGCGCAGCTGGTTAATGCGCCGTTGGTGTGACGGTTGGGAGGGTGTGTGGCTGTCTGCTGCCGTGACGGCTGGGGGGGGGGGGGGGGGGCGCCCTGGAGGGTATGGCGCGCCGCTGATGTGATGCACTGAGGGCATGACGCGCTGGAAGGGCGCGACGCGCCGATGGCGTGACGGGCTCGGGGATGTGGCTCTCCGTTGGTGTGACGGGTTGGACATTGTGACGAGCTGGAAGAGTGTAACGCGCCGCTGGTGTGACGTGCCACTGACGTTACGGCTGGGAGGGTGTCACGTGCCGCTGGTGTGACACGCTGTGAAGGTTGCCCACCCTCTGTCACGTTGAGCGCCGCCGCGTCCGGAGCTGGTGGCGCTGACGGACAGCTGATGGCTGCCTGTCAGCGCCGGTGTGGCCCTGACTGGAGCTGTGCAGCCGGGCTGTTCGCCAGCGTGACGGAGCTGTACAGCAGGGCTGCTCGCCAGCGTGACGGAGCTGTACAGCAGGGCTGCTCGCCAGCGTGACGGAGCTGTACAGCAGGGCTGCTCGCCAGCGTGACGGAGCTGTCACGGCGCCGCGGTCTGATCCCCCCCCCCTCCTCCCCCCCGATCGGCAGGTGTCTGTGGGACGCGCGGACGGCGGCTCGTGAGGACCTGCCCACTGTCCACCACGACCAGTTCATGCAGGATGAGGCTGTGTGCGCCAGATGCTGAAGGGGCTTCCTCACGCACGGCGTGGTCACTGTCACTGGGGTGAGTGGTCACCGTCACTGGGGTGAGTGGTTACTGTCCACTGGGGTGAGTGGTCACTGTCACTTGGGGCTGAGTTGTTACTGTCACTGGGGATGAGTGGGTCACCGTCACTGGGATGAGTGGTCACTGTTGCTGCGGTGAGTGGCCACCGTCACTGGGGTGGATGGTCACCGTCACTGGGTTGGTTGGTGTGGTGGTCACTGTGACTGGGGTGGCGGTCGCTTTCACTGGGGTGAGTGTGCACCATCACGAAAGTAAGTGACCACCGTCACTGAACTGTGCGACTCGTCTCTGTGGAAGGTGATTATTGTCAACAGGAGTGAGTGATTGCCTTCACTCGGGTGGGTAACCAGCATCAGTGCGGTGGATGACTGTTTTGGGGTGACTAACAGATTGTTCGTTCTCATTTGTCGTTAAATATGACTGGCTAACCTTCCGACCGATATCCGGTCTTTTCCGGCACATGTGCCCATTTCTCGCGGTCTGGGCCATTAGGTTTATCCTTCATCATCATCCTAAGATGAGTCTCAACTTGGGAATCGGCCCGGACACCTATTTAAATTGTTTTCCATCCCTAGAGTCGCCAATATTCCTACCTCCATGGTGGAAATTCATGGGCCAACATATGTTTCGTGTGAACAGACAACTTCTACAACTCCTAAAACTCCTTACACTTTCAAATACTTTTAAAGCTCGGAGTACAAACTCGTAAAATATGCGCGGCCCGAGGTCCCGGTGATGACAGTATCGCTTATGCATGGTGTCGGCCAGAAAGCAAACATGAGAGACCGAAGACAACTGACGTGTTATGTGGTGCATTTGACAGCCCACTGCCCCGCGCATTAGCCCAATGCCTCTGACACGTGGTTGCATGAGGGCGCGGAACCTTTGGTGGGTGACAACCGTGTCATGTCGCAGTGCATGCATGCGTATAACCATGACGAATAGGCTCCAGACGTGCTAAGTACAGCGATTTGTCAGGCTGCGTCAACTCAGCACGCATATATTCATGAGGGAAGTTGGGTGAATTATACCGACTTCCGCGAACTCAAGTGCGACGTAGAGGCGACTTTCTGTGGACCGTCATGCATACGCGAGTTTCGCTGATCTCGTTACACCGGTTTCATGTGTCATATCTCAGTAAGACACACCATATTAACATATGGTGCAAGGACGCAGCGGGTGTGGTGTGATGAAACACGGACGAGCTCCGTACCCGGACCCGGGCGCGTGAGTCCCCGGAGGACCAGTGGGAGGGGATCGACCTGTCTCGTGTCGCCGTTTCTCAGAAAAGCAACAACGGCGGGCGGCCCCGTGGCCGGCGGTGCCGCACGGTACACGTTGTAACGCAGCCGTCGCTCGCCCGGCTGGTGTGCTCTGGAAACGAGGATGTATCCGCTAATAGGGTCCAAATTGCGTGCAACCCGCACAGGCTTTGGGCGTTTTAGTGGAAAAATTGCCTTGGTGCGGCCATGGTGCCCGCTGTACGTGCTAAGGTGCCGGAGATCTGAGGCTCATCAAAGTTGTGGCAGTGTTTTAGTGTGGCCGGTCCGTTCGTTCCGCTATAGCTCCACAGCCTCGCGATGGGTCTTTGTTTTAAGTTGCGCGAAGTTTGGCGGAATGCTGTGGGATCTTTCCAGTGCCCCCTGCCTCCAGGTCTTTTCATTTTCAAATGAATAACCAGATAGGCATCCGGGGAATAATGCATACGTTTTCTCACCAGGCTTCTTGATCAATCACTCGCCAAAACTGCATGGGAGCGATATAAGGCCGCCAAAGTGGACTTAAGTTATAAGAATTTGGTCCGCTTTACTAACATTATAGTGGACCAAACTAAGTTTATTGCGTCGTAGCAAAGCTATATATTAAAGGAGTAACGCAGCGTATCGAGGGGATAACACTCAGTAATTCAACCTTTCAGCTGGACAAAGAAGTGCTAATGTCGCCCGACCTCGGGGATGCTTGTTGTGAGCTTAGGAAAACATCAGATTGTCTATTTTCCTTCATCTTGCAGCGTAGCCCGCGGTTCGATGGCTCCCAGCTTTGAGCCGGGGGAATGGGATAGTATTGGCGCTGGCGTGTTGTTGACTGGCTGCCGGTCGAACATCGCCCTGACGGCGTCCGGGTGAGCCGCGCTTATTGCTGTGTGAATTGAGCGCAGCCGGCAGGAGTCGGCCAGTCGAGCGGGCTGTCCAACGTCACGCCCCGATGTGTCGAGGTCTGCGAAGGACGTGTTTGGCCGGGTGGAGCGATACCGGCCTGTGTGAGGCTAGACTGGAGACGAATGGCGCATTACGGAAAGAACAAGGGCAAAGAAAACCACTTTCAGACGCGCGATAACTAGGTATAGTTGCCTTTTTGTATGGTATTTCAAGTCGTATACATGTAGCTTTAAATACAACCCTCTCTAAGAGTGGACTTTCTATTTAAGCGGGCCAGCTGACACACAGTTGCCCGCCGCGCCGCCAGGTGTCGGCGTCGCTGGAGGCCACCCGCCGGGTGATCGAGCGCGTGGGCGCGGTGCAGAACACGATCTTCGGCGATCGTGTGGCAGTTCAGCGCCGACGGCGCCCACGCCGACACGGCCTACACGCAGCAGGCGCTGAGCGTGCACACGGACGGCACCTACTACACCGAGCCGCCCGGGTACGTCCCGCGCGGCCGTCCGCGGGTGGCATGATGAGCTGTCCGGAGGTGGCACGATATCCGTCAGAGGGCGGCACGATATCCGTCCGTGGGTGGCATGATGAGCTGACCGGGGGGGCGGCATGATATCAGTCTGGGGGTGGTATGATATCCGTCCGGGGGTGGCATGATGAACTGACCGGGGTTGGCATGATGAGCTGTCCGGGGATGGCGTTATATCCGTCCGGGGGTGGCATGATATCCGTCCGGGGGTGGGGGTGGCATGATGAGCTGTCCGGGGGTGGCATGATATCCGTCCGGTGGTGGCATGATGAGCTGTCCGGGGATGGCGTTATATCCGTCCGGGGAGTGGCATGATATCGTCCGGGGTGGTGGCATGATATCCGTCCGGGATGGCATGATATCCGTCCGGGGGGTGGCATGATATCCGTCCGGGATGGCATAATATCGCCCAGGGGTGGCACGATATCCGTCCGGGGGTGGCATGATATCCGTCCGGGGATGGCATAATATCCGCCCAGGGGTGGCATGATATCCGTCCGGGGGTGGCATGATATCCGTCCGGGGGTGGCATGATATCCGTCCGCGGGTGGCATCATGAACTGTCCGGGAGACGGATGCTGTCCTGAGTAATTTGTCTCACCACTTCTCGCCTGAGCTCGGTTTACGTGGCGCCGGAGCGCCATGGCGTGTCACGTGACGTCGTGACGCGCCCAGCCAGGGTTCCTTTGGCACCTGGACAAGTCCTGCGACGCGCTCAGCTTCCCGAGCATATCTTGTGCCATTCTGAGTCGTCTCGGCCTGTCTTTCGTGACCCTAAGTCGTCTGAGTTTGTCTGTTGTCGTGCCGAGGCGGTTGAGTGCGGCATATGACATCCTAATGGGCCCATGCCGAGCCTGGTGAGCGCCTGGGTATGCTGTGCCTAGCTGAGGCGGTACGTGGCGCTGAATGAGCGAAACGTCCAGTCTGTCCGGCCCGCTTTTCTGACACGTTTTACTTATTCACCGCCTCGTCCTGGATCCTCGCACTGCCCCGTTACATCGGGACATGCGGCGGGCGAGCCGCGGGCTGCCGTTACAGTCGCTCTAGTGCGGGAGCCCCGCAAGACGACCCGCGTGAGCCACAGGGGCGGGGTTCTGTGCGGGGTGAGGCGTGTTGGAGAGGGCCTCTCGGGATGGTCGCAGTCTTGCCCCACTGCTCACCAGTCTCTTTAAACCCGCAGCCGTGAAGAGGTCATTACTGTACTCTGCAATGAAAGTCGGCTCTACTGCGAACCGAACCCTGGCTTGCCTGCCTCGCGAAGTTGTCCAGCTCGTATGCTGGCGCCCACTAACGAAAACAGAAAATGTGCTAATGTGTGTCGGTCACGTATGAGATCAGGGTGCCCCGCACGTTTGTGTTCCCCTTCAGTGGTTTCGACCAGCGGTTTTGTTCACCCATCGGTGATAACTATATTCGTCACCTCGGCGAAGCAATGCCATGCTGATGCGACACCGAACCTCGGGCTCGCTGGAGCCCAGCCTACATTCAGGAACTGTGGGCGGCGACTGGCCACAATGGGCTCTAGGCGGTGACAAACTTTGTAAATTTGTTGTTCATGGCATGCAATATATATGCCTTAATGTCGGCCAATCCCACGATATTACGCCCAGCACCCATAACCGCGAAGTGTTGTCTAATTTGAATATAAGCCGCAGGAGGCCGCGTTAGAGCTTATGCTGTTCATAGTGTCATTAACAATGACAAATCATTCCCTAACTCGCCCGGTGAGCGGGGTCACCGCTGTCTGCCCATTTTATATATATATATATATATATATATATATATATATATATATATATATATATATATATATATATATATATATGATCCGAAGTCAATACAGACCGCGAGGGCGTGGCATTAAACAAGCATGCTCGTGCGTTAGAATGACTTGAAGGCACCCACAGGTATGCTCGTGCAGTATAGCGACATGAAAGGAAGCGTTTTAACATATAAGTTTTGAGCTCCGGTCACAAAGCTGACTTTCAGTGTACCAGGAAATACTGTAAAAACGACGTTACCTAGGAAACATTGTCCATATTGTTAGGCCTCGAAACTTTAAGCGGTGGTCATAATCGTGAGTGATCTTCACCACAGCTTGAAGCTTCGAGTTTTGACAACATAACTGATGCTTGCTTCGTAACATCGTTTAATCGACATCGGCTGGTGTGTTGAAGGTCCATTGGTAGCATAGGAACGCGAAACTCATAGTGCTGAAAGACCAGGAACTCTAGATCTTTCGTGGTTATATCAGGCTTCCAAAATTCCTTGTAACTGGCATGCGAAGACAACCATAACGTGGCACATCGAGTGGCTACTACAAACAAAGTATGGAGGCTAAGTCGGGTCACGTGTCGTTTCTGGTTTAAGCAGCGCAGGCATTTTAGTGAACTCCGCCGGCAAGGTGTTACATTGCATGGGTGCATGGTAACGGATGAATTGCTACCAGTCATACGACAACGGATGCATGGTAAGTGAACCAATGGTGCAGAGATTCCACCGTTTTTATCTCCGCTCCGCTATTCTAAACTCCACTCCACGCTCTGATCGGTCCCTTTTTCTCCATTCGCTTCAAAACTAGCTGCAAGTATTCCGTCTGACCGCACACCATGCCTGCGCAGAGTGCAGGTGTTCCACTGCCTGCACCACGACGGCACCGGTGGCGAGACGACGCTGGTGGACGGCTTCGCCGGCCTGCAGCGGCTGCACGCCGCCGACCCGGCCGCCTACCAGCTGCTCTCGACCGAGCCGTGCGCCGGCGAGTACCGCGACCCGGGCCGCCGCGTCCACCTGGCCGGCGGGCGCGCCGTCATCGCGCACCGCGCCGGCGGCCAGCCGCGGCCCGAGCTGGCTCGCCGCCTCCGCTTCAACCCGTACGACCGGGCGCCGGCGCGCCACCTGCCGCCGGCGCGGCTCGAGCCCTTCTACCGGGCGTACCAGCGGCTGGCCGAGACGCTGCTCAGCCCGCGCCTGGAACGCCGGCTCCGCCTGACGCCCGGCACCGTGCTCTTCATCGACAACTGGCGCGTGCTGCACGGCCGGGCCGCCTTTACCGGGCGGCGCGTCATGTGCGGCGGCTACGTGGCGCGCAGTGACGTCATGAGCCGGGCCCGCGCCGCCGGCCTGCTGCTGTAGGAGCCGGTGACGTCATCGGTCGGTGTCGCAATGTGGTCCAGGAACGTCATGAGCTGCGTCGCGTCATTGGCAGGCTGCACGGTGACGTCAGGAGCCGTAGCGTCGTGAAGTGCAGCGTCATGGGACGTCATAGAGGCGCCGACGCTGCTGACAGCTGCTGTAGGGGCTCAGTGACGTCATACAGCGCGGTGTCGCGATCCGTTTGAGTGACGTCAGAGTCGCACTGAGGTTTAACGCGAGTGTGTGCCGTGGCAAGCCATCATCCACCGACCAATGCTGACTGACTTTGGGATCATTCAGGTATTCGTGGGGGTTCCCATGTCGCGTTTAATACTCACATTCTGGGATAATTTGGCTGCTACAGGGATGTTACGGCTCTTATCTTGAAAGCACTGCACTTTAAATCCAGCGCTGCCTGACTTAGTCGCCGGTACAAGTCAAGCTGTTGTAGCTTATCCAATAGTGAATGCCTTTAGATTTGAACTTGTTATGGTGCTCAACTAGAGTGGCGTTCGACACTGTTTACAGTTTGATACAAACAGAAGGCCTAATGGCAGTCAATGGCACTTGTGTGTCTCCGCCGGACTCCTGCCCGCTTACATTGCCAATCTGGACGCTCCAGGGCTGCTTGCTGTACTCCCACTCCGTTTGATCCTGCGTGAACTCTCGAAACCAGGGGTTTACGTCACAACACAATACACACGAAGTCAGGCATCAAGGTTTCGAAACCTTGATGGTATTTGGCGATAATGAGAAAGCAGTAACATTTGGGTTGAAGTCAACATTTAGGTTTCGGTGATATTCCACGAGGCGATTTTTACACATGGGCTCACTCCGACTTTTTCCTCCGAACATGTCATGCACTGCAACTAGACTTTGTTTGAAAGATCCTGAAGTAAGTGGAAAAAAAGGAGGACACTTCCTCTGCGCGTACGCAACACCGTATTTTCTCTGGTGATGATATGTACATGCGCATACAATTCGAACGTGAACGTGAAATGAAATCGATTGTGATGACGCGTGTAAAGTTGATTGATAAGTATTCTTTTACCTTTTTGACGTGGCCTTATTCACGATAATACGATTTTGCTCGTGTCTAGCACCCCGTCTTATTATTTACCTGTCCCACCGTTACTTCGTGTACTTAATTTGAGTCAGGACCAGCCATAGTCAGGGGCCTTGCGCTCGGTGCGGAAGGCGCAGTTACGAGGTGAATAAAGAAATAAATGAAACCTGACTTTGACTCGATATCATGTAAGTGACTAAATGAGACCTGAATGAGCCTGATTGTGCGCTCGGCGACCTACAACGGCTCAGCTGGATGAGTGCCGTAATATTTTAGCATTACGTTGCAGACCTTTCTTTGTGGCAGCGATGTCAGTTGATTTTTGCACATCATGACAGCATGTATCACTGCGAAGGCTCGTGTATCTGACGTCGAATGTCAACTGCCAAACGGAGCACTTCTGCGGACTACATGTGCGTAGACAATATATATATATATATATATATATATATATATATATATATATATATATATATATATATATATACATATCAATAAGAAAACCGACGAAAGAGATAACGACAGTGTCCCTCACTGTACGGATTGCTGCCTGTAGCCTTGCCTGAGGTGCCCTTGAAGCTCAAGCCACTGTTCTTTCATGTTGAGTGCAACAGGCAAGGCATCGCTGGTTGCAATGCTTCTGTGAAAGGCCTTCATGATCGGTTTACTCGAGTTATTACCGTGTTAACACGGCCAACGCGTCGTTTTACACGCGCATGTATTACACAAGATGATACAATCGTCGTCACAGCCGTGGTCAGACGCGAGCGTGCGATTGGCAAGTTCTTAAAAACACGTAGCCACACACGATTCATTGCTTCTCAGTGAGCAGCTGGCTACGCTTCGATGAGTTGTGGACCAATGCTGAAACAATGACCTGCAGAAGCGTGAACACACTCACGCAGTGCGACAATCGTTACCGCTTCGTATTGTTTTGTCCAGCGGGCAAATCACCCCGGTATGAGTTATGACGCCGTTCAGGAATAAACTGTCCTGATTCCAGTCATAAATCTTTAGTTGGGGCAAACGTCTAGCCATTTCTAAAGTCGTAGTTTTCCAGATTGGCTGCGGTGCGGCTGACGGCCGTGGTGCTCCGTCGATCCCAAACATCGCATGACCCCTTCGACCCCTCTTTCATTCTGCCGCGCGCGATCTGTACACGGAGGGCGTCAGTCCGCTCGAGCCGCGCCTGTCGGCAGAGCGGCTGCCACCGGCCGCGCGACGTGGACGGGTAAAATCGCCGGTGATGTACAAGCACCTGCCCGCGGCTCTCCTCCCCTGTCTCTCTCACACACAACCAGCAAAGGTCTGGGCGGTCGCCGAACAGTGTGCCAGCTGCAGCTGAGGGGCGACTGCGGCAGCTGGGCAGCTGTGGACGGTGGCGGGCGAAGCGCTGGTCACTGTCATCGAGGCCGTCCCGGGGCTCCCGCCCGCGCTTCGGTGCGGGTCCGACCGGCGCCCATCGTCACGCCCCGCAGCACTGGCGGCGGCGGCGGCGGCGGCGGCGACGGCGACGGTGACTCCTCCGCCAGCGGTCGGCCCGGACCCACTGGACTCACGGCCGGCGAGGCGTCCCGGCCGGCGGCGGACCGCGAGCCCCCCGACAGTCGCCGCGCCGCCGCCTCCTGGCTCCGCCGCTGCCATACGATAGCGGCGAAGATGCACAGGTTGAGCACGAGCAGCGAGCCGCCGACGGCGACCGTGAGCGCGAGCGCGGCGGCGTGCGCGGGCCGGCCGCCGGTCCATGTCGCGCGACATTGTCTGCAGACTGCGTGTGGTGACGGGCGCCGCCGTGCTGGCCGGCGCCGGCGCCGGCGCGGCGCTGGTCGGCGCCGGTGGCGCAGGACGCGTCGGGGGCGGGCCAGAGCAGGCAGGCCGCACAAGTCCGCTGAAGAGCGGCTCCGACGCCGTCTCGACGGCCTGTTCGAACGCCAGTGGCGCGCGTCCCGACCGCTGGCGCGCGCTCTGCAGCTGCGGCACCAGGCGCGCCCAGAAGGCTACCTCGCGCGCGCGGTACCGGCTGCGCACGCGCAGCTTCGAGCCTGCGGAGCGAGCGCGATGTTAGCGTCAGATCGATCATCCTGACAGCGGTCCAAACATAAGTTGATCGGTGCAAATTCCTCGCGCGTCCAAGCACAAGCCCTGAGGCGCCGCCCAACATTTCAACACTTGCTCCATTACGGCACCGGCCGTCTGTCTGTGACGCCTCGCCGTGTCGTGCATGCTCGACGTCCCAGTCTGATGCAGCTGCGCGAGTCCCACCCCGCCACGTCCTGCTGCATGTACAGCACCTTGTTTCGCCGCGCGCAGCAGAGGCGGGCGTTCCCCGCCCCGGGCCGTTATCGCCAGCCCGCAGCCGGTGCCATGCCCCGTCACACGCGGTAAGATTAGCGCGGATTCTCAGCAGCGTCGACGCCGACCGACGCCGCGCTGCATACTGATGAGTTGCGGCTCGCGCCAAACCAGACAGCTGCAGAGTCGCAGCAGCCCCCTCCTCCTCCCCTCCCCGCACTCATGGACGCCCCGGCGCGACGATCGCCAGCCCATCGTCGGCGGGACGCTGATGCGGTCCGCTCGTCGCGCTCCATCAGGCCGACGTTTTCCCGTCCTCATGCAGTGGCCGCAGTGGCGCAGCCCAGGGCGCCCTGGGGTCATGCCGCCTCCCCTGGCACTAGAGGTGCGAAGATCCCGAGAGACCCTCGGTGCTTTTTGGCAGTTCTAGACCCCCGTAGGTAAACAGGATATCGAAAAGGCCCCGCATTACATATTCATATATATATATATATATATATATATATATATATATATATATATATATATATATATGCGTGTGTGTGTGTGTTTGCACGCGCGCGCTGTGTGTGCGGGTGTGGGTGTGGGTGTGGGTGTGTCCATCACACATCGTTAATGTCAACCTCTTTAGGCATCGGATCGTACTCTTCCATACCAGAAGACATTAAATAATATACATGCAAAAAAGTAGTTGTTGCAACCACGCAGTTTCTTATCAGGCTTCCTACAAGACCTGAGTTCTCAGCGTGGGGCACCATTCTGATGCCGTTAATAACTTACGTGAAAAACTCCTGAAGCTCGTTAGACTCGATAATGACCACCGGAATGAAATGTCAAGCTTCACTCCAAGTGCCATTGCGCTCGAAAACCGGATCCTGAAGTAAAGGTGACAACAGACACCAGGAAAACGAAAGAGCCCCACTCAGTTTCAAAGTAGCTTCATTTAACTTTGCCATGGTCCCCGTCCACCGAGACACGAGTGCGACCGGTGCCAGCTTTCTGCAGCTGCCGGCGCGGCGTCGTTACAGGCGAGTGGCCGCTTCGGAGTCCCCTGTGGCGTCGCTCGTCTCACCCAGGTTCAGGTAGCTGCGGTGCGTGGCGTTGTAGGGCGGCCAGGTGACGGCTCTGTATCGGCTCCGCTCCCGGCCGCTAAGAGCGGCGCGCGCCTCCTGCCGTGGCCCGTTCGGGTCCCTGGGGGTCATGAGAAAGGTCAGCGCATGTCTAGGGGGAGGGACAGGGGGTAGAACATGCAGTGCCTACTGGCCACGTATGTGATACTGCCAGCAGCTCGGGTCATATTTTCTACAACTTGGCAGCAAGCATGCAGGCGCGTTGCAAACGCCTACTTTAATGGCTACCAAATCCTTCTAAGTCTGTCGCCACAGACCACAATGAGTTCTGACACGCGGAGCGTGACGCAGGACTCGCTCAGCCCGCCTCCTCGCACAAAGCGCCGACTCCAGCCCCATCGGTGGTGAACTCGCACCCGGTCTTGGCGAAGTTGGTCCAGAGAGCGACGACCGCGCGGCTGAGGTCGGCCTGGCCGGACGTGTAGCGGATGCCCGTCTCCGCCGCCGGCAGCAGCGGGTCACCGAACACGTACGGCAGCTCCGAGCCGTGTACACTACCCAGACGCTGCAACAGCCACCAACAGCAGCTCAGGGCAGCCCAGCCGCTCCAACAGTCACCAACTGCAGCTCGGAACAGCTCCACTGCCCAGCCGCTGCAACAGTTACCAACGGCAGCTCACGGCGGTTCCACTGCCCAGCCGCTGCAATAGTTACCAATGGCAGCTCAGGGCGGCTCCACTGCCCAGAGGCTGTAACAGTTGCCAACGGCAGCTCAGGGTTGCTCCACTGCCCAGCCGCTGCAACAGTTACCAACGGCAGCTCAGGACAGTTCCGGGCCGTGTGCACACTGCCCAGCCGCTGTTACAGTCACCAGTGGCAGCTCAGGGCGCGGCAGTTCCGGCCAGCGCACACGGCAAGGCAGTCTCTGGTTCTGACTACAGCGCAACTCCCACCGCACACACTGCCCAGGCGCTGCAACAGCCACCAACGGCCATAGGCGGATCCTGGAGGGGGGGGGGGGGCACGGGGCCATGGTCCCCCCAAAAACTCCGAGAGTATGTTTTGCCCCCCCCCCCCCAAAAAAAAAAACATTCCCAGAACTTCATAAAAGTTTCGTCTACTTACCGTCTGTTTTAAATTTAACTGTTTTAACTGTTTTGTTTTACTTCTGTTTGAGATTCAAAAGCATTTCGGTGCTTGAATTGTGTCCCTACTAGGTACTCGCGAGAGGCACCATGCACTGGACTCGGATCCCACACCAGCCAGCTGGCGACGAACGGCTGCCCCCCACCCAAAAAAAACAACAAACAAACAACTCCAGGCTAGATCCGCCCCTGCCAACGGCAATTCAGGGCAGCTCCGGGTCCGGCAGCTCCGCGCAGTGCACACGGCAAGGTCGTCGCTGGTTCTGACCACAGCGCAGAACCCACTGTGCACGCGGCAAGGTCGTCGCTGGTTCTGACTACAGCGCAGCTCCCACCGGACACACTGCCCAGGCGCTGCAACAGTCACCAACGGTAGCTCAGGTCAGCTCCTGGTCCGGCAGCTCCGCGTAGCGCACACAGCAAGGTCGTCGCTGGTTCTGACTACAGCGCAGCTCCGCGTAGTGCACATGGCAAGGTCGTCGCTGGTTCTGACTAAAGCGCAGCTCCCACTGGGCACGCGGCTGGGATTGCGATCTTAACGTGCGGAGCCATCGGCCCCGCATCCCAGGAGGCGGAACACCTTTTTGCGTCAAGGAATACTCAACAGCTGTCTGTTATGGGGACGAAAACAAAATCGCTAGGTTCAGGTCGACGCAACGCAATTTGATTTGGGGGCGGTCAGGATTTCAAGGACGTCTCCTGGATAAAATGGGGTAACCAGCTCGTAGAATGCTGGGTAAACCTTTAGAATTATGCGGCCCAAACTTAACGTGGCGCAATAATTGACACGCTTCGTCGTGCCCTCTAGTACCACCTGAGCGTAAGCGCGGCTGCTGCCATACGCCGCGGGACATCCCAGTCAGAGCTTAACGGCAAGTGCATAAGCGACTCGGGCCCACCCCGCCACGAGTCGGTGGATCGAAGGGCGAACGCTGGAACCAGCTGAGTTGTCCGGATGATCGGAACCCTCCCCGAAACTCTTCCATAATTAGAGCTTAAGTACTGCGAAAAAGCAAACGGATCGGTGACGTTTAGATTGAACCGATAAGGGATGGGTAGCGGTTGGATGTGGGCTAGGCCACTTCACGGGTTGGGTAAGCCCATAGATACCGATGTGATATGAGCAACACGGTGGTATGCTACAGGTTTGTGGACAATGTTGGGTGCTGGTATGGGTCGTTTACGAAGTGTTGGGTAGATTCCCGCGAAATAGTGCACATTGTTACTGCTTGGGCTCCATTCATAACTCTTTGTTCACACTTTTTTTGCAATTTCCAGCGCAAGAGTAAGTTTGGATGTGAAAATTCCCGCATCTATTCCGTAATTAACAATTAAATGCTTGGAAAAATGAAAATGGGTGTGTAACAATGGGTGTGACTGGCGAAGGGTGGTAAGCGGCCAGGTATGGCACAACCCGTCTGGTTGACGAAGGGATTGTGTACAGGAAATCGTTCTGATGAAGGCCTCTAGTGCGGGGACAGCCCCAAGGACAGCGTTTGGATTTGGTAAGGGAAATCTTGCCCGTCAAGCCTGCTCGATAATTATTGGGAGGCCAGTACCTCTTTCCTGTTTACTTGAAGTGTTCCTGAGATTTCGGCCACTCATCCAGTATAATTTTGAAAGTAAAATGAACTCCGTAGTATTTGAAAGTTCAAATTTCAAGCTAGTGTGCAGCATAATGCACTCGATGTATATGTAAGAACAGCGAGCTTCGTTTAGCCCGGTTAAGCGTGCGGAGCAATTTTCTTGTATGATGAACGTCAAAGCACGACGAATATGGCAGCCGTGTATTAAATTCAAAAGGTCCCAGAGATAACCATGCAAACGATACGCAGTCCAATTCGGAATAGGACGCAAAACTGCGGGGTCGGCAGAAAACCGCTGCGATCAATGCTTACCAATGGCAAATCCAAAAGTAAATGGCTTAAGGCAACACCCCGTGAGCTGCCGTGACATGATCGAATCTGACCTTGCAAAGATGTAGCTCGAGCTAAGTATGGACACCACCAGTCGCAAAGCTGCCAAAAGGGGTGGTAATAGGGAAGCCCAGTGAGCCCATTAGCGCTTTTCATCTATGCATGAGGGCATTATGGCGGAAGATGTGTGAAATTCAAAATTTGACTGACCCGGATCAGCTAGTCCAGACATATCAAATAAAGGCTCGATAGCTCAATAATGGTGAAGGCACCTACATATACATGCAATAAATGTTTGCACATTTCGAAACAAACTTGTTTGATTGAAGTCTCTTAAAAGTGAAAATTTTGGCTTGATGCGTACCGCGAAAACCCTTGTCATTTCGCTGATTTCGATACCAAGGTTTACTGTTTCGTTTGCATTTCCTAGTTTCGGAAGGAATAAGGTAACGAAAAACCTCCCCACCCATAAATCTCACCCTATGTGCGAAGTGCGCCCATGCCTTTTGTCCATGAATCAGCTACTATCCAACGGGCATTCCAACAATATCATCCGTACCAAGTCTGTTCTACAGCCGACTACTTTACTACATTTTCATCCTGTCGTCATTCGGCTTGTTAACCGTTTTGGCTTGTGGTTTCCATGCTACGTCTGCATCTGGCACGCGCCATGCGGCAGTCGTAAGGCAAGGTGTTTGCGGTGTTTTTTTCTAGTGTCTTTTTATTCCGACTCGGTATCTCCACTCTATCTCGCCGGCGGCCCACCATGCTCAATGCGCTAAAAATTTGTTCGGAGCAGGGCTGGTTACACTAGCAGTAACGTGATTCCAGCCTAAAAAAAAGAATCGTGCCAACACAAAGTGTTCACCCTTTTCTTGGATCAACGGTATGGTATGGCACCCACCCACCCACCCCTTACGAGTATGGTCTGACTACAGTCCTGCTGAGTTATGGCAGGGGCCTCCTGTTTCAGAAGGAGGCCTTTTACTACACAAGGGATACCTTCTAGTCCAGAAAAGGAACCCCTAGTTCATACCGGGACCCCGTAGTTGATATTAGGCCCCTCAGTTCATAACAGGGTCCTCCTAGTCCATAACGATGGCCTTCCTAGTCCACAACGATGCCTCCTCGTCCATAAAGATGCCTCCTAGTCCATAAAGTGGGCCGGCTAACTCACTTCTGGGGCATCCTAGTTCATAACTGGGCCTACTAGTTAATAACGGGGCCTCCTAGCTCCTATGGGAAACCTCCTAGTTTACAACGGGCCTCCCGGTTTATAATGAGGCCTGCTAGCCCATAGCGGTGGCCTTCCGAGCCAGCAAAGGGCATCCTTAACACAAAATTGGGCCTCCTAATATGAAGCATGAGCTAGATTATTTAGCAAGGCCGTCTCATGATCGCGAAAATGAGGCTTGTAATGTAAAAGTCTCCTGAGACCCGTCCAGTACCCTCTTGTTCAGTTATCGCGTCTCCTTGATCTGAATTTGGTAATCCACATGGGCTTTAGAACCTCTGTTGGGTAAAACGGCCTCCTAAGATTTGTAGGAGCAAAAACACACTCCTACTTTCCTGCCAGCCGGCAGGGAGGATAAGCCCACTCAGCTCCCTCTGCCCCCCCCCCCCCCTCCCCCCAGTTTGTTCGGAGCACGAGGTGATCGGAAGCATGCAAGTTAAGTTTCGAATACCTGTTTCGGGGCATGATCATCGCAAACTATTTGGCCAGCGCGCGGACGGTGGAACGCAGTCTGAAATGTGTTGATCAGGAAAGCCAGGTTTCTTCTTTAGTGTTCTGTTTTAGAGGTCTGCAAAGCTGAAAGTGCCCATATCGCCCACTTCTCCTCCAAGTTACGACATGTTTAGCTTCTCCCCTCGTATATGGGCTGCTCGGTCGATGTTGTCTGATCGCAAGTGGGTTAAGCTCGTCAACGAGATGAGCCGAGATGGGCTGGTCGTTTTTGCCCTGGAATCCTCCGGGGGATCTCTGTCGATGCAATAATGTCTACGCATATGCGTTGCTACTGTCCAGGTGACCGGAACAGCGACTGACGATTCTGCAAAATCACTGACGCACTTGACTTGCAGGCAAAATATGCATTCTATGGTAAATGGTGATGTCTGTTTAGTTTTTTTTACTTAGCCACAATGGGGCCTTGTAAGTTTTCATTTGGATTCTTCCTGCAGTATCCTTTTCCAGATTCATCAAAGTCCGTCGCCAACTCGGCAACCGAACAAGCAGAACACATTTTGTTTGTTGCTAACGAGAGTTGGGCGCAAGCAGCAGCTGGGGGTAGAGGTGGGCACCGCCTTGTCTCTATCCCCTCCCCCAACATCTCCCCTTCTCCTTCTTGTTAGAGCAGCGAGGCTCACCTTCGCCGCTTCACCGACATCCCCGACGTAGCTGAAGACGTAGAAGAAGGTGTTGTGTCTGTGGCCACCGCCAGAACCAGCCGCGGCATGTCGGTCGGCCTCCGCCGTCGCCGGCGCCACGAACGCCGCGTCGCTGAGCGCCGCCAGCGTCTCGTCCCGCACGGTGATCGGGTGACGGCGCGGGTTGCTCCAGTTAGTGTACGCGTTGATGATGGAGTAGAAGATCTCGACGTTGCTGTAGCAGTAGCCGTTGCGGACGAAGGTGCGCAGCAAGCGGTCACGGCGCTCGCTCTCGAAACCGCGGCTGATGTCCCGCTCACGGAACAGGGCGGTCGCATCCCGGCCGGCCACGCCCACCAGCAGGTCATACCGCCGCCGCGGCGCCTGCGAGCGCGGCGCCGCCCCGCCGGCGCTCGGCCCGTACGTCGGCAGGAACTGGAACCGGCCCACGTCGGCGGCCAGCAGTCGCTGGACGCTGTGCTGGCGCAGGCAGGCCAGCAGGCGGCTGGGCTCGGAGCTGACGCCGGGCAGCGTTGGGCAGCCGAGCTGGCGGCCCAGCGAGGCGGCGCGCTGGCCCGGCGACTCGACCAGCGCCAGCGGGCTCAGCGACGAGCCTGACATCAGGATCACGCGATGGAAGAGGCCTGGGAAGATGGAGACGCGTCACCGGGGGACGAGAGCAGCCCTGAGCAGCTGATACGTTCTCTGGTGTCGCTGCGAGTACGGCATAAATATTTGCATGTCTGGAAAGGGTCAGAATAAATTCAGCTAAAATTACGAATAATCCCTCACAAACGCCAATCCACCAAGGTCCTGACCACTGGTTGAAGAAAAAATACGATGCTTACTGGATGCTTGAGCCCAATATAGCCCACATGTCAAAGTGGAATGGCAACGTTGCAGGCTATCACTAAAATGTTCTGCAGTGAATGCACAGAGCTAGTTCCAAATGCGTACGACAACAACAAAATGCGCCTTAGTCACGCACACGATACAAGAAGCGATTCACATCCCCGTGTTCCGAGCGCAAAGGCTTGGCCAAACTTGTAAACACAAACTTAAGTTAATTGTATTCAGTATCTATCATGAGTTCAGTGAGATGTGTATATTTGGGATATATATATATATATATATATATATATATATATATATATATATATATATAATATATCAGTTTCAATGTCCCAACGAATCTGCAACATGCACGGGAGCGATGCATTGACGCTGCTGACGCCCGATGGATCTACAGAATGCACGGAAGCCTGCAGGGCGCTGGGTTTCCGCTGGGTGCGAATCTTGGTAATACACTAAGCTTATCAAATAACACATTATGGGCACTTACACGATTTGTGACAAAGCGATGTAGACCCAAGCCTGTTGACAAAATACCATGCTGCGTGTGGGTAAAGCCAGAGTAGCTTTTGTTGAAAATAATGAAAACAATAGCCTTACCGATAGCGGTAAACAAACAGTCCGACGGGAGAAATGAGCGAAAATGCCTGACAAATCGCAAAATTGCCGTGGACAGCCTGTTTTTTTTCTGTGGAAGAGGTGTGGCAAACTGGCTTTATAGTTCGAAATGGACACGACACATCTGGTTACAAGCCTCACGTTTAAATTTCTACTGGAAATTTTGGATTTTCCCTGCAATGGGGGAAGTAGCACATGAGGAAAAAAACATGTCGGATATTGTATGCATATATATGCACATATACATAGATACATATCAACGGATAAACATATTGGTGCAATTATATATTCATAAATTTTCCCGACGGCATAAACCATCGTCTCTCATTCTTGCAGCCTGTCGACGGTTAATTGTGGGCTCACCCTCGTCCAGAGCCGGGCGAGTTGACCAACAGGCTGATGCAGGCGGCACCCTCGCCGTGACCAAACAGGGTGACCCGGTCCGGGTCACCGTCGAAGCCGGCGATGTTGCGCCGAACCCAGCGCAGCGCCGCCGCCTGGTCCAGCAGGCCGCTGTCGGCCGCCCCGCCGCCCTTTGACGCCCCAGGAAGCCTGCCGACACAGCAGACGGGACGCTGGACACGACTCTGGCGCGGCCGGCGCGATTATGACGCAGACGGCGCCGCCGCCGAATTACGTGTCAGAACGGATAATTTGTCAGGCTTCCGTCTGGCGGCCGGCGCTATTTTCGGGCGCTGGCAGGCTTTGGTGTCGTGACTAGGCTCGTTTCAAGGCAATACTTTGGATGCCATTAGTTTTACTAGGCTGAGGGTGTATGGCTGCCATGATGAAAAAGGAGGCTCGCATTTGTGGATGGATGGCCCTTAAGTGAGCGGTAGGTGCCTGGGTAAGGAGAAGGTAACACGAATGAGGGATGACATAACAAATCGTTTCATATATACGTAAAACAGGTGTACTTCAACAATTTGCGTGCGAGGCGGTTTGCGGAGAAATGGCTTGAGAGCACTTCATATTTACATGTGCCGCTTTACCAGGGCATCTTAACTATTGTTCTCAGCACTCCAGCATAGCGATCATACTCTGCGCGCAAAACGTTTGGACACACCAAAAAACTTACATTTTCAGGCCTTATGCCGAAATAACCGATCTTCATGGCACTAGAAGGTACAGGAAACCGACACTATCAAGCAAACATCAACATGCATGATCAGGATCCATTTCGACACATGAAAATGTGAGGCGATTTATTGTGATATGCAGCATCCTAAGCGTTGTGTCCAATCTGCCATCAGCCTGTAGGAGAAGTTAAAGAGATAAGAAGAAGGCATGGAGAAAGGAACATTGACATAAAAAAGAAGATTGGCATTTGAAGCCAACTGTTTTCATTGCAAGAAGTTGTAATGCCAAACACCGGGAGCTTTCATTCTCTGGCTACTATCTGGGAGGGCAATTAATTTGCATACGCGCTACGTAAAAAGTCACCGCATCTGTTCCTGGTTTTTACAGCATTGTCTGGTGACAGCCTTTCGTTCTTTGGGATAGAATAGATCCACAACAGTTCAAGCTTCAACAGGAAACTGGTAGGGGACAAATCAGGGACTTTGGTGCATTTCTAAGTATGAGCAATGCTTCGTGGTTAAGGGCAGCAACGCATCTCTTCGAGCGCGGGTTGAAATCCGCTCTGTGCAGGAGACAGAATGAGCAGTGAAGAGATTACGCGGCTTCGCGAGATTACCACCCTCCCTAAAATTGTGGCAGCGACCGAGACAATGATGTTTGGCCGGAAGCTGGATGGGTTGCAAGAGCAATCAGATTTGTTTGACGGGCAATGTAGTGCTTCCAAGGACCGGGAGAGTGGGAGCCGCCTGGAGGGATGCTGAAGGTTGTAGTCATTTGGAGGGCACCACGGATCGCATCAAGGCTGCAGCCTGGATGACGCTGATGAAAATGTCATTTGAAATTGAGCCGAAACGACAAGCAAATTGCCGGTTCTCGTCGGCGAGGTTCGCTTCAGATGTCTGTATTACACTCGATTACATTCCTGGGAAGACGGGGACAGCCAGTCAGGCTCGTATGATAGGATTGCACACAGACATGCCAGGACGAAGGACTCTGACAACTTTGGGGGCCAGGATACCCGATACAGAAGACGTTAAGGCTTTATAATGAAACGTATATTTTGCGTCTGAAACCCTCAAGGTTGGAGAAATAGAATGTCAGCAGTAGGGCGTCGGTAACAACGGTAATACGATCCGGAAATGTCGATTCTGACGATGAACGACCTTCCAGATATTAGGAGGCACTGGTTAAAGGGAATATGCCACCTTTTTGAACTTTTCCTTTATTGTTAGATCTGCCGCGTCCAGTTTGATCGGTTAGACGTGTTAGGTAAGACAGTAGTGATAGCCTGATTCCTCACAGAAACCAAGGT